AAAAAAAAAGTGGTTTGTTTCAAGCTGCAAAAAAAAAAAAAAGAAAAGAAAAGAAAGAAAGAAAGAAACCTTAATAGAAAACTCCCCCTGTGGAGCCCACATTGCCAACCACAGCAGAAGAGAGACTTTGGCAAAGAAACAATTCACAGCAAAAGGGAAGCAAAGTAGTTCCCAGTTGCAGAAACAATCTTCAAAGAGTTATCCAAATGTGAATACATCACCAAATGGCTAGAAGTCACAGAAGAGCCTCAAGTTTGAAAAAAAAGAAAAAAAATAAAAAGACGTTATCGAAACCGAAACATCAGAGAAAGAATTCAGAACATTTATGGTGACAAATTCAATGAATTGGAACAGAAAAGAGACAATGAACTCCAGGAGATGAGAAAGTTTTTCCATGATTTGAAAGAAGAAATGGACACCACAAGAAAGAATCAAATGGAACTGGTAGAGATGAAGACTGTAATACAGGAAATCCAAACCTCACTGGAAAGTATCAAAAGCCAATTAGACACACTGAAGATTGAATCTCGGGTGTGGAAGACAAAGCCTCTGGAAAAAACCCCCGACCAAAAAAAAAAAAAAAAAAAAAAAAAAAAAAAAAAAAAAAAAAAAAAACACCAAAAAGATAGAGAAAATAACAAAGCAAAACAAAAATGAGGACAATATACTAGAAATACTAGATTCCATTAAACGTCCAAACATCCAAATAATTGGTATCCCAGAAGGTGAGAAACTAATAAGGGCATTGAAAATCTATTCCATGAAATCCTGGAAAAAACCTTCCAAGCCTAGAGAAGCACTCAAATACCCAGACCCAAGAAACACAAACTACCCCAAATAGACTCAACCCAAGAAGATTCTTTCCATGGCACATCATAGCCAGACTGGCCAAAAACACAGATAAAGCACAAGATATTAAAATTGGCAAGAGAGAAACATCAAGTGACTTACAAAGGTAATTCCAACAGGCTAACACTGGACCTTTCAATGGAAACAATACAAGCAAGGAAAGAATGGGAAGACATACTGAAAGTGTTAAGAGAAAAACAATTTCAACCAAGATTATTATATTCTGTAATATTATCCTTCATATGGGAAAAAAAAAAGATAAAAACCTTCTCAGACAAACAAAACCTAAAAGAATTTGCCAACACCAGACCAGCTCTGAAACTCTGAAGAGGGCTGTACCAGGAAAACTGAAGAAGAGAAGGACAAAAATAAGATATAAAGACATACATAGACTAAAAATTAAGGGCTAGAAAAAGGTTTTCCATGCAAATGGGAACCAAAAAAGAGCTGGAGCTGCAATACTAATTTCAGACAAAATAGGCTTTAAAAGAAAAACTGTCAGAAGAGACAAAGAAGGGCATTATATAGTAGTAAAAGGACTAATTCATCAAGAAGATATAGCACTTATAAATATCTGTGCACCCAACTCAGGAGCACCCAAATACATGAAGGAAAGACTGATAGATCTAAAAGATAGCAACACATTCATTGTTGGAGAACTCAACTCCCCGCTATCTCCTTTGGACAGATCATCTAGACAAAAAATAAGCAAAGAGATACAGGATCTAAACAATACCATAAATAGAATAGACTTAACAGAAATCTATAGAACCTTCCACCCAAAAACCATGAAATAAACTTTTTTCTCACTCCCACATGGAACCTTTTCAAAGACTGACCACATGATAGGGCACAAAACAGGGTTTTACAGATTCAAAGGCATAGAAACTATACCCAGCATCTTCTCCAACCATGATGGAGAAGATGAATATGAATTTCAGGAAAAATCCTCAAAAATGGACAAATACATGGAAACTAAATAATCTACTGCTGAATGATTTCACAACTACTAAAGAAATTAAGACTGAAATCTAAAGATTCATGGAATCCCATGATAATGAGTACACAAGTTTCCATAATCTTTGGGACATCGCAAAAGCAGTCATAAGAGGGAAGTCCACAGCAATTAGTGTGCATAGGAAAAAAGATGGAGGGAACCAGCAGTTAGGGTAATGGCTATGTCGCTGGACTCCCACATAGTCGATCACTGTTTGTGTCCCAGACCCGGTGGCTTAAAACTCACACTAGGCACATGTGCATACGTGCCCAAGATCCCAAGAGGAGAATGGAGGAGAAGGGATTGCGGCGTGACCATCCCCCCTCTCACTTTCTGTCTCTATGTCTCTCTCTGTCTGTCTGGTGAGCGCACGCGCCCTATAGCAAAAATCTCTCCAAAAAAAAAAGAAAAAAGATGGAAAGTTGGCAAATGGACAACCTAACATCATGCCTCAGAGAAATGGAAAAGCAACAACGAAAAAAAATCCAAAAATCTCCAGAAGAAAACAAATAATAAAAGGGAGGAGGGGGAGAGAAGGGAAGAGAATAGAGAAGGATAACAAGAGAACAAATAGAGGGGCATGATATTAGTGGGACACAGAAGTGGTTTATTACCTGTTGATAACATGTATAGTATTCTCAACTGGACTGGTCTAAGAAGTATTTCATGTTGGGTAAATTCTCTTTACAAGCTAAACAATATGTCTTGATTGAATGTTTAAAAAAACAATGAGGACCAGCAGTTAGCGTAATGGCTGACTCCCACGTAGTCAACCGCAGTTCGCGTCCCAGACCCGGTGGCTTAAAACTCACGCCGTGCATGTGCTGCGTGTGTGCCCAAGATCCCGAGAGGAGAATGGAGGAGAAAAGATTGCGGCGGCCATCCCCCCTGGGCGGTGATTTCTCGCTTTCTGATCCTTTTGTGGTTCATAAGCATGATGATTGGGTGTTCACGCCTGTGTGTGGCATGTGCCTCCCTCCTGTAATGACGCCAGCACAGTACCTGTCTGACGTAAAAAAATAAAATAAAAATAAAAATTAAAAAAATTTAAAAATTTAAAAAAATAATAATGAGAATAAATAATCATCATCATCTCAAAAATAATGATGAACAGCTTCCTGATGATGATGTGGATAGCAATGTCTTTGCCTTGACCGATACGCATGGTCATCTGCTGTAAAAAGAACTATAATACACTGTAAATAAGTATGTGATTAAATATAATATAAAAAAGTCTTGAGCAGAAATAAATTAAATAGAAAATAAACTATAAATAAACCAAAGTAAAAGCTGGTTCTCTGAAAAGATAAAGAAAATCGACACACCACTAGCTAGACTAGTTAAGAAGAGAAAGGAACCAGATAAATCAAATTCACAATGAAGCAGACAATATAACAACAGACATCACAGAAGTGCAAAACATCATTAGAGGATACTATGAACGACGATACGCCAATAAACAAGAAAGCCTGGATGAGATGGACAGATTCCTTGACACATGTAATCTACCAAGGTTGAGTCAGCAGGACAGAGAAAGCCTGAACAGGCCCATAACAAGCAATGAGATTGAATCAGTAAGAAATAACCTCCCAACAAAGAAAAGCCTCGTCCTGAGCCTGGTCCTGAGGCTTCACCTCTGAATTCTACAAAACTTTCTCTTTTTTTGAGAGGTTTTTGCTATAGGGTGTGTGTGCTCGCCAGAAAAATGGAGAGAGACAGAGAGACAGAAAGTGAGAAATCACCCCCCGAGGGGAAGACTATGCCACAATCCCTTCTCCTCCATTCTCCTCTCGAGATCTTGGGCACACACACACAAGTACCTAGCATGAGTTTAAGCCACCGGGTCCAGGACTTGAACCACGGTCGACTACATGGGAGTCCAACGACATAGCTAATACACCAACTGCTAGTCCCATCTACAAAACTTTTAAAGAAGAGTTTACCCTCATTCTATTCAAGTTATTTCTAAAAATATGAAAGGATGGAACACTCTCAAATTCATCCTATGAAGCCTCTATCACTCTTATCCTTAAAACAGACAAAGATGGAACAAGGAAGGAAAATTATAGACCAATTAACTCTGATGAATATAGACCAAAAATTCTCAACAAGATACTAGCAAATCATATCCAACAACATATAAAAAAGATTATTTATCACGACCAGGTAGGCTTTATTCCAGGGATGCAAGGGTGGTTCAACTATGCAGGAGCATGAACATAATATACTACATGAACAGAAAGAAAGATAAAAACCATTTGATCATATCAACTGACGTAGAAAAAGCATTTGATAAGATACAACATTGCTTCATGATCAAGACTCTCAGCAAGATCATCATAGAAAAGTCATTCCTCAACACAATAAAAGCCGTCTATGAAAAACCCATAACTAACATCATTCTGAACTGGAAGAGACAAGGATGCCCACTTTCTCCGCTCTTTCCAATATAGTTCTGGAAGTCCTCGCAGATGCGTTCAGAATAGAGAATAAAATAAAAGGTATTTAAATAGGAAAGGAAGAGGTGGAATTACCCCTATTCACAGATGACATGATTGTACAGAAGACCAATGGTTTCCATGAAAAAATTCCCGGAAGTAAAACATGAGTACAGTAAAGTTGTAGGATACAAAATCAACATACAGAAATTATAGCATTTCTATCTATGAACAGAAGACAGACTGAGATAGAACTGAAGAAAGTAATTCCATTTACCATCACCACAAAAGTATAAGATTCTTAGGAATAAATCTAACCAAAGAAGTCAAAGACCTCCACAAGGAAAATTATGAGAAGCTAAAAAGAGAAATTGAAAATGACACAAAAAAATGAAAGGACATCCTATGTTCCTGAATCAGAAAATTAATATAATCAAAATGGCATTTCTACCCAGATTAATCTATGTATTTAATGCAATCCCAATCAAAGTATCAGAAACATTCTTCACAGATCTAGAAAACACAGTAATAGAATTTGTCTGGAATCATAAAAGACCTCGTATTGCCAGAGCAATCCTGCACAAGAAGAGTGGGGTGGGTGACCTCTCACTCCCTGACCCGAAAATATACTGTAAAGCTGTGATAATCAAAACGCCATGGTACTAGTAAAAAAGCAGACATGTAGACCAATGGAACAGAATAGAGACCTCAGAAATAAATCCCAAAACATGCAGCTGACTGATTTTTGACAAAGGGTACCAGTCAATCCAATGGAAAAAGGAAAATCTCGTTAGAGAATGGTGCCAGAAAAACTGGGTATCCACCTGCAGAAAGACTAATCTAAACCCCTACCTCTCTCCATTGACAAAAATCAACTCAAAATGGATCAAAGATCTAAACCTAAGACCTCAAACTATAAAACTACTTCTGGAAAACACTGGGGAAACTCTGGGGGACATTGGGATGGGCAAAGACTTCTTAAATAAGACCCCCAGAGTACAGTCAGTAATCCCAAATGTAAGCAAGAGGGATTACATCAGATTAATAAATTTCTGCATGGGACCAGCAGTTGGCATAATGGTTATATCACTGAACTCCCATGTAGTTGACCACGGTTCAAGCTCCAGACCCAGTGGCTTAAATTCACGCCAGGCGCATGTGCGTGCGTGCCCAAGATCCTGAGAGGAAAATGGAGGAGAAGGGATTGTGGTGTGGCCATCCCCTCATCGGTGGTTTGATTTCTTGCTTTCTGTCTCTCTGTCTCTCTCTGTCTTTCTGGAGAGCGCACGTGCCCTGTAGCAAAAACTTCTACCAAAAAAATAAATAAATAAACAAATAAATTTCTACATGACAGAACACACAGTAATTAGTGTGAATGGAAAGCCGTCAGAATGGGAGAAGACTTTTTTAAACTGTGCTTCAGATAAGGGTCTGATAACCAGAATACACAGGGAACTCAAGAGGCTTACCTTGATCAACCCAATAAAAAGCTGGGAAAATGAGCTGAATAAACAACTCTCTAAGGAAGACATACAAACGGCCAAAAGGCATATGGAAAAATGCTCAACATCCCTCATCATTAAAGAGACAGAGATCAAAACCACAATGAAACATCGCCTACTCCCAGTCAGAATGACTAAGATTTAAAAAGAATATGCTAAGTGCTGGTGGGGTGTGGTGAAAGGGGAACCCTCCTAACTGCTGGGGGAATGTGAATTGGTCCAGCCACCGTGGAGAACAATATGGAGGTTCCTCAAAGACCTAGAAATAGAACTACCATATGATCCAGCAATCCCACTCCTGTGTATCTACCCAAAGGACAGGAGAACGCTCAGTTGGAAAAGCGCTTACACATCAATGTCTGTTGCGGCATTATTCACGATCGCTAAGACATGGAACCAGCCAGATGTCCACGAACAGAGGAAGGGACTGAGTGGCACACATACTCTATGGGGTACTACTCAGCCATACAAAACAGCAAGACCCTGGCTTCTGATAGAACACGCCATGGCTCCGGCTGCCTCGTGGAAGGTGGAGGCTCAGCAG